CTCTAAAAAGGCGTCACCTTCTCACACCTGTGACCGACACACCTGTGCAGAGCCTGTTTGGACAGGTGTGTTTGTCCAGCCACAGATGAGCATGAAACAGCACTGCCAGGATCGAGGGTGAACACGTAGCTTCCAGGTCTGAAGAGGCCGTTGGAAAGTGTGACTAATAACAACAATACTCAAGTGAAAAATAATGATGATGAAGAAACCTGATGGTTACCATTACTTACTGGGACTCCTCCAGAGGACCTCCGCCCCGGAGTGAACGCTGCTCCACAGCCTGAACATCCAGGCTCGTGTTTCTGCTCTGCACAGAGGACGCCTCCGTGCTGCAGCTGCAAACTCGTGTTCACATCTGGGACCAATCAGCTGAACTTTGTTTACCGTCTGAGCAGACTCGCGTCCACGCTCGTCCGAACATGACCACAGGGCCTCAAACTCAGTCACGTATTCAACTTATTAACTAAAGGAATGCGATGTGCTTGCACGCCATATTTCTTCCGTATGTCACATAATCCTAAATGCTAATGTGGGTGAATCAGCAAAGCAAAGATAACGACCCGTGCATCACGGGTGCAGCGAGCTGTGGATGCACGTTTCATTCAGTTTCAACACTGATTTTATTTCACATTCACCAACGTTACATTTTTAATACAGCAATAATTTATGTTTTCACAGTGCTTAACAAATAGACCGCCTCCTGCAAGGTCCATGCCACAGCTGCACTGATGATACTTCTACTTGATTATTTATTAAAAATGTGACGCAGATCGATGATGATTCTTCTGACGTGTGGACCGTTTCATGCTCAGCTCATTCGCTGCAAGACGAAACCTAAATGATGTTAATGTGTTTTAAAGGAAACTGGAATCTTCCTTAAAGCATAAATAAAGTAGAATTCCCACATAAAGGTTGAGGCAGTGAGAAATCATGTTTGGTTATCAGTGTGCAGCTCTGAGCGTTGTTGGCACTGCTTTGTTGTTTTTGTGCATTTTCAGACACACTGAGGGAGCGACACACCGCACCTGTGCAGGTTTATTTATTTAGTTCGTCAGCGGGTTACGTGATTGGCTGTCAGCAGGTGGTTGTGGTTCTGACCTCATGGAAGTCTGCAGGTCAACATCTGGAACAGCAAGTTCATGAGATGCAGGTGCGGCCCACATTAGGAGAAAGTTGAGATGCACTTCAGTCTTTCTGCTGACTGCAGGAGAAAGTTTGTCTCCAGGAGAGGAAGCGAGAGCAGCTTTTTCAGGGTTACTGCAGCAGGACGGATGTCTGTGGACACGTGTGGCCTGTTCTGCTTTCATGTGATGCTACAGTTCAGACAAAAAGCAGCTCCTTACTTTTATTTGCAGGAATGTCAGCTTCTCCTCTGAGGCGGCAGCGACGTCTGTGACCTGCTGAGAGCAGCTGGGAACATCTGGCCTCATTTTCAGCCCTTGAAAGACTTTTGGTGTTTGCTGATGAGGGGTCACAGCAGGGTCAGCAGGGCCCCCGAGGAGCCCTTTGAATCGCAGCAGGGGGGTCTTGAGAGCAAGAGAGGAGAACCCTGCCTGTCGGTCATTTCACATCATCTCAGGCTGCCACGTGTGCAGTTTGGGTTTGTGCTGATTCACGGGTAAAGACGGGAGTGCAGATGAGGCTTTAGCCTGTCTGTGAGACGTCACCATGACAGATTTTTAATCTGACACTTTTCTGCTTCTAGATCAGTTTTATGACCTGTGGACGAGGAGACGACTCTCAGCTTCAGCTCGTGTGGAAGTGATTTAAGTTCTCGTTTCCTGCTCAGATGAAGCAGTCGGGGCGAAATGAGGTGTCTGATGAAGCCTCGCAGGTTGATTGATTTTTCTTCCTGACCTCTGGGACACTCATCCAGGCACGGCGCCCGAGTGCTAAATCACTTCCTTCCCAGATCCGTTTCTGGGTCAGGGATGATGTGAGCTATTTGCTTTGGACCCGAGTCTCCGGAGACGTCCTCCCGTGCTTCCTCTGTACAACAGATGGTTGCAGGCCGTGCATGTAAAGTGGTGAGTTAGCAGCTATTGGACTCACAGCTCCGAGTTCGTGCCTTCCTTCCTGTGAATACAGGTGTGCTTTGTAATCCTACATGCTGATGTTGTTTGGCTCACAACAAAGTGGAAAAGTTGACTTTGCATTTTTGGACCTTCACAGCTCCCAGTTGCTAAAAAAACCCTTTGACTAAAAGTGTGCAGTCACAGCGGCGGCCCCGCGAGGCGGCCAAACTGCTGAAGCCTGGAAACAGGAGGAAGAAAAAACTTGTGGAGTCTGAATTTTCCAAAACATCTGGACATCTGTCACAGCCT